AATTTATATTATAATTATAATTATAATATAATTATATATAATTATATTATAATTGTACAATTATAATATACACTATAATTATATATAATTATAATATAATTATATAATTATATTATAATATATAATAATACTATTGTATTATTAATCTCCTATGAAATGGAATTTAATTTATTATTATAGAATTTTTTGCTGGGATATTATTTTTAATTTTCTATTTATTTATTTTTAATTTAATTACAATATGAAGAAAGTTCATGAAGATTTTGGTTATTTTTTTCAAATATATAATTGATATAATGAAAATATGTTCTTATAATTATAAAATATAATTCTTCAAACATCAAGACAAAATATTATTTAATAAGTTTCTATTCATATGCATTAAAAATGGAGTAATTTTAAAACGATTTTAATCTTGATAAAAAAAATTATATGGTGACAATAAATTTGATTCTATATAAAAATTTTTTTAATAAAAAAATAGTATTATATGATAATTGGAAAATTATATTGAAATGAATATATTATATTGAAATATATTGAAAAAAAATTGCTTTTTTTAAAGAATATTTTCGTATATAAATATAACAAAAATCAGTATTTTTTTATCCATTTATTTCCTAAATCGAATGTGATAGGCAATTTTTACGTCAATTTTATTTTAATTCAGATTTGGCATATAAAAATACATAAAAAATTATTACATTCTTAAACAAAAAAAGTTCATTAACCTGTTTTCTCATATATACATCATTTTATTATATCGATTTTCTTCATAAACAAATCAAATTTATAGAAGAAAATATTAATCATCGTTCATTTTCTTCTATACTTCTATACTATTTATTAAACAAGAAATATTTTATATTGATATTTATATAAAATTTAGATAAATTGCGTTAGTCTTGAATAACATTGAAAATCATAATATATGCTATCATTTTGCATTGAGAGTGTATACGGGTGTTAATATGGTGATAAGAGAAAGCAATTGAGTGCAATTGAATCATTAGTCGTTAATTGAATAATTCAGTATAAAATAATTGGTTTATTTAAATTGAATTTATTTTCTATTAACAACTTTTATTAGTTATTATATTGTGAATAATGCAAGGTGACTTTGATATTATTTATTGAATTCATGCTTCTTATTTATATTTTATCGAATGATTTATATTCTAATGGAAATTAATCCGTTTATATCTCGCATTCTGTTTGATAGATTATCATTTTTAATGTACATAATATAATTTTATATTTTAAATGAAAAAACAGCATCTCGTATGTATTTATATATATTTTTAAAAATATGTCATGAAATATGAAAGATAATATATATATATATATATATATATATATTGCAATAATTATATCTTTATCTAAGATAAAATGATAATTTCATAATTTTATTTAATGGAATAATCGTAATGAAAAAAGATTTTTTAAGGAATGTAACTTGAATGTAGAACAAGTGAATCAACTTTATTGATAAAATTTAATATAATTGACTTGTTATTATCGACTCGCACTTATTATTTTAAATTATCGAAATATTTGAACGTTATAATTTCGATGTTTGTGTGAACGAATTTGATAAACGAATGAAAATTGTTGACGCGTATATTACATCACATATAACAAGAATGATATATAATATATATTTTCTGATATTTAAAAAAGGAAAAAAGAACTGTACGAGTGCTTGTAAATAAGTCTTAGAACGTATCTTTGAAAGTATGAAGCGGGTATAATTCGTATTACATAACAAATGGCTATTTTTACCTGTAAACATGACATTTATTTTGATAGTTATATACAAGACTCGCGTAACCACACAATGAAAATCTTGTGACGAGCATTAGGCTCTCAGAGAATACGCTTTTTCAAATATCCGGACGCTTTTTGACTTTTTGTTTATCATAGGCTGTTCGAGATTTTCGTAAAAAAAAAAAAAAAAAAAAAACAAAATACTGCAACGAGAAGGGAAGATTAACAGAAATAGAAAGAGGGATAAGGAAAAATTAGGGGGCGGGCGGAAGGGGGGGGGAGGAAAAGTGAGAAAAAAAAAAAAAGAGGAAAAGAAAAAAAAAAAGAAAGGAAAATAAAGAAGGAAGCGGGAAAGGGGGGGGGGAAAAAAGGAAAAAAAAAAAAAAAAAAAAAACAAAATAATGCAACGAGAAGGGAAGATAAACAGAAATAGAAAGAGAGATAAGGAAAAATTAGAGAGCGAGCGGAAGAGGGCGGGAGGAAAAGTGAGAAAAAAAAAAAAAACATGCGAAACGAAAAGAAAATATTATATTTCATCGATTCTCTTTACTAGGCATGCGAATCGCATCTAAAACTCGCCTGTTCGGTTCCTCATCGAGATATATTTTATTATATAATTAAAAAGACGCCGACTGTTTATCGTGAAAAAGCGAATACATAAAGAAGAAAATTATTTTAAAAGCCGCTTATTGTGAGAATCGCTTACCGTATGCTTCATTTTACTTAATTGTTTTCGTTAATGTGTCTTGAGCTGTTTTGAAAATCGATAACAATCAATTTAGAATTAATTTCGGTACAATAGTAAGAAGTTTATTAAATATGACGTAAACACGTTACTTGCGATAGAAATGAACATGTGTCAACGTTTTTTTCATTTTATTTTCTTTTATTCCTTTTTGTTATTTTTTTTTTGTCTTTTTTTAAATTCTTTTTCTTTGTTTCTTTCTTAAGAAGAGACTTGATATAACGTAAAAAAAAGTTGTCCCCCTCGAATGCGAGAGAAAATTCTATAAAATGTTCGAATCTTTTGACTCGTATATCTATCTTTTGAATTGCTAAACAGCGATTGTACGAATTTCGCACGCTATAAAATTATTTAAAACGATTACGCACGCTTACAATGATTAGAGTTAGATTAGACGCATACGCTAACATTCTTTCCTACGTTCGTTTCAATACTGGCTATCTTTTTTTTATCCGATCGATGCAACGTTTTTTTTTTTTTCTTTTTGTTATGACAAACATGTATGACAAACTTGTTTTTCTAATAATTTGTTATAAAAACCGAGATTCCACGTTCCAGAATGATGAGTCACGGCAATTTTTCAATCATTTTCTCACGAACGCGAAGGCGTCGTGTGTTTGTTAACGTTTATATGACCTTTCATCATCGAGACGAGAATCGAGATGGGGAAACGAAAATCACAAAAGATTTGGAAGAGAAAAGTGTGTTAAAGTGCAGACGCTGTAGAATTCTGCAGAACGTTTTCATAGAATGCCGCGAGCGGCTATCTTTGTCAATTTGATTATTTAACCGAGGAGCTAAAAGATTCTCGAGCGTCGAACAGAGGCCGGCATCCTCTCGTTTAATCTCGTTGATAACGTCTCCTTCTCCGTCCATAAGTCCAGCGGACACTTGCTAATCTAAACATAACGTTTATTAAAATATAGATTTATAACATCTTTCAAATGTAATAATTATAATTTACTTTTCTCTTATAATAAACGATTAATAAATGTCAACTTCATTCTGCAATTACAACGTTCATTTCATTCCTATCCTAAATCGTACTAATTGTAAGTATTCGGTGACTTATGGACACGGAAATTTACATACATTTACATATATCGAAAGGGCAGCGTTGCTGCTTCTTTCAACGTTCTTTCGCGAGAGTATCGCAAAGATAGGCAGGCTCGAGAAAGGAACGGCGATTGCTCTCTCTGTAAAATATCATTGTCTCGGCCGATACACATTTGGCGAACACGTTTTACGATAGATGTCGCATTTGAAGGCCGTAAAGAGGGAGAGAGAAAGAGAGAGAAAAAGAGAGAAAGAAATGTAAGGGAAGATGGGAGAGGAATGTTCAAAGAAATAAAGAAATAGAACGAGATCGCCAGATGAAAATTTAAATTAATCGTTGGAAGATCGTTAAAGGTATTCAACGATGTCACATTTGATAGATATATTTGGACAGCTGGCTACGCTGGCGCCGTAGCCGGCCCTCGAGGAACTTTTGTGCCTCTCGGTGAGTAACTTTTGAAAGATCGGCAATATCGCTAAATCGAGTAATTCGCCGTCTGATACGGCGCTATACATTTTAGAAACATTTGCCGCGGAACCACCAACAACGTCTGAACTACTGCCGGTCACTGAGCTGGCTGTTCCTGGGCCATTCGCACTTCCTGCCACACCGCCGCTACTTGGCCCAGTGCCGCCACCACCACCACGTGGATTCGCGCTTGCGAATTTATTATTGTGTATAGTGGCAACATTTGGTGTGCTTTGCACGTATTCCAAACGAGCCTGTTGTCGGAGTTTAGACTCGGTATGTCTACACTCTCGTATCCGACGTGTGGCACGATGAGGACATTCGATCATCGCGTGTCCCTCACTTCGAAGCCGAGGACATTTTTCCCGCGATCTTTCAGACACCGATCGTTGAATAATCGTCGACATGGATTCCTCGTATTTCTCTGTGAATATAATATTATGTCAATATATATAATTAAATTGAATAATATAGGAAAGATCGGGAAAATTGCGTGGAAACGTATAATACAATAATACAATAATAAAAAAATAATTTTTACTATGTGTAGTATTTCTTTTTGATATTATGATTGCATGTTGTTAAAAAGTTATTAGTTTACTAAAAAATTAGCTATATCAATTTATTAAATTATCTATTGCAACAATATTTTTTTTATATATAAGTAATTTAATTGGAAGGATAGTGATGAAAATAAAATAAGCATTTTGGATTTTTGACTTATTAAATTTCTCTAAATTTCTGTTTTAATAATTTAAACTTTATATCTAAATTTTTATAATGACTGAAATTATTATTTTAATATCAAAAAAATAATTTTTATGTTTTATTTAAATTTATAAATATATTATAATTTATTAATTTAATTAAATTATATATAAAAATTTTAATTTGTTATTAAAATGTAAAAGAAAGATAATTAGTATTTTATAAAAATATAATTTTCTTGATATTATTTTATTATTATTAAAATAAGTTATTAATAATATTTTTTTAATTGATTATATTTATAATCAAGATAAACAAGAGAAAAATATTTACTTTATGAACATTTGAATATTTTATTTATGTAATGATTTATTTATATACTTCCAATTTCAAAAATAGCAAGTAAACAGTGAAGTATATGTACTAATATATGTATATATAACGATATATATCGAATATTTATATTTTATATTCAGCAATTTTATTGCTTTATTTATAAAATACATATTGATATGTTTTAAAATCATATATTAAATAATCATATATAAATATCATCTATTAAATAATTTTATAATAAATGATTAAAAATGATTCAATATAATAATAATTGAAATATTTTAATAGTTTTTCATATTATTATAATGATGAATTATAATGAAAAATAATATTATAATATTATGTGAGTTTGAATTATAATTTTACTAGATGTTATATAGATAATATAAAAAAAGTTAATGTAATCATTTAAAAAAACACATTTAGAAAAACAAAATTGACTTTCTTATAATTTCTAGGTGATCAAAAATTTGATCTGATATACGTTTTTTTAACATCAAACAAATCAAAAAGTTTTAGATGTTTTATCCTGTATCTTACTAGACAGAATAAGACTTATAATCATATTTTTCTCCACATAATTTATTAAAAATAAAAAAGTGAAAAATTTGCCTATCAATCTCGATCTTCTCAAAAAGAAAGAGGAAATTATCGCTTACCGGTATCTGAATAACTGGCATTAACCATCGCAGGCACACTCGGAGAACTCGCATTTTGAGAATCGTAATGTTTTTTATGTCTCCGTGGAGGAGGCGGCGTTTCCGCCGAACCATTCAATATAGCGCGATGTCCTCGTCCTCCATGTTTCTCACAACGATATCCAGTACCTGAGAATAATGCTCGTCGATGACCACATTCACCAATTATATAAGACTTATCAAAACCAGAGTTGAGAGAGAACTCGGTGGCCTCTGATTTGGAGACGTTCTCAGTCGAAATATAACTGATGCAATTGACTGGTACACTGGTTCTCCGAGTTTGAAACAACTCGTGATGGGAATGAGCCATTCCGTTGCTCTTCACCGACGATCTTCTCTTTAATGATTGATGAGCGGATGCGTTTGTCGCCGAAACTGAAATGAAACCAGCAATAAATATAGTGAAAATAAGCAAAAGTTCGAAGAATTTGTAGAATTAATTGGATAGAGAAAAGTTGTATATTATTATCTCACCGGAATGTCGATGCTTGGGAACGAATTGCGAGGGAGGCGGTAGAATCGCTTGTTCGAGGTAGTTTTGTTCGTGAAGTTCACCGAATGAGACGTTCTTTGTCGGCGGAGGTGTCGGGAGCCTGGATCTACGATCGTCTTTGCTTCTGATCAACTTTCCATGCCTGGGAATTTCGGTCTCTTCGAGGATAATGGCGTCACCCTCCTCGACGATCTCCGGCACGAATTCAACGTTCGTTTTACCGGTATCCGATCGCGAGTCCGGACTTCTCTCGGCAAGAAGAGGTTCACTCTCTTTTCCAAGTATGGAGGAACGACTTCTTCTATGGCCGGAATCGTCTGTTGTGTGTTTTAAAACCGAAGGCAAAGGCGAGGACGAAAAATCCACGGTTCCTTTCGTGGTTTCTTGAGTTTGTGGGACTAGAGGTGTTCGTTCGCTGTCGATTGCGATCGCCGGTAATTTCGAGAACGATGTCTTTTTTCTAAAAGGAAATATATTATTTTGATCAAATTTTATATTTTATATTTTATACATTATACGTACTTGCTAATCGGCTGTTCGGTCGCGATTGTGCTCGCATAATCGACGCCTTCTGGTTGAGAGATGGTAGTTGAATTCAGACTGCACATTGATATGGAAATGTCCGTTGTCTCTGTCGCAAGAGACAAACCTGTAATGAGATAATAAAAGATGAAAATAGAATAATACGTATAAGGAAAGATTTCGAATCTGCAAAAAATTTTGAAACTTTGAGAATATGTAGTGCATATGTAAAAAAATATATATATTGCGAAATTTTTGTTTGCTATTCAAATTCACTCTGAGAGAGCAAAATTGACTTAAATGAAAATTTGGTTATTTTTCGACTTTTGAATTATTTAGTAAAAAATTTATTAATTGTTTATATAATTAGAAAAGAGTTATAAACAAAAAATTATAATTTAGTTTTTAATTCATTATTTTACGGAAAATTAATAATTTTAATAACATAAAAAAACAAATATTTTTTTTTTTATTACAAACACAAGCTTTGTTGTATTATTGTATTTTATTTCGCGACAATTTGAAAGAACTTTTGGATCTCATTATGTATCTCATGTATGATATATATATTACAATCTTTTTTTTTAATATTTACTAATAATATTTACTAATAAAATAACTTAAAATATTGAAACAGATGGAAATGAAGAAAATTAAAGGATTGAGGATTTTTTTTTTGTTAAATTTTAATAAATTTTATTTTAGCAATTTTATTTACATTGTTTGTTTTAATGGCATTTCAAATATCATGATTCAGATACATTCATATTTTTGTCATCAGATATAAGATAATAAAAAAAATATCAATAACCTTAAAAAAAAATCAAGAAAAAATGATTTGATAAAAAAATTATTTTTCCAAATTATTTCTTTTTTAAACTAAAATTGTGCTATCAATTTTTTTTAAGAATATTATAAAAAACAAAGAAAATTTTTAAATAGTCTGTTTTGTATAGCTTAAAATATTTATAAAAGTCACATTTTTGTTTATCAGAATATTATGAAAATATAATAGAACTATATGAGATTCAAATATAATAGAATGTGTAAATGTATAAATGAGGAAAACAATATTAAATACTTGCATTATAATCTTATAAACAAGATTATTCTATACTTACCTTCTTTTTTCACCACTGTTGCTTCCTGCCTCGGAACTGTTAACCTATCCATTGCTTCCTGTGTATTCGATGTGGTTTGATCATCAAGCCTCCGTAGGAACATCTGCAATTGATCCGTTCGATATGATTCGTTCATCATACACGTTTCTCAATCATTTACCTGAAGCTCTGAATCTTTTTCTAACAATTGTTTACGAAATTTTTGATTCGCTAACGTCGCTTCCTTCAGACGTTCCTCCAATTCGCTAACGCTCGAGTCCCTTCGCGTTTTCGACACTGGCCTAAGCGTTGCTCGAATTCGTTTGTCTATCGTACCTTGGGGATTTCTTCGCAATTCTATTAGCTAACATGGGAAAACGATTCGTTAATTTTATTTTCGCGGACGGAAGCCAAAGCGGCGATAAAACGACAACAAAACGGCAGAAAGCGGGGCATGGAATTTTCATTTCAGAAGAGTACCTTTGGTACAAAAACCAAGCACAAGGTGGCGGTGCTGCAGAATATTATAAATATCGCCAACATAATAAACATGGCATCTTGTTTGTCAGCCAACACGAAGCTTATAGCCGCTCCAGTAACACACATGATCACAACGTTGTATACGCTCATTCCGACGTATTTGCTATCGTTTAACGCCGGAATGCTAACATGCCTTGTTTCCCATGCCAAAAAGGCGCCGAATATCTGGAATATGAAGAAAGTCACGGCGTGAAAAATCGCTTTAGATAGCTACGAACTTTCTACTCTCGGTGGCTTGAAAAAGTTTGGTATATTGGTGTCGTCGTTGATCTCTCGAATCGATCGACATTACCTACCATTAAAAGACCTTTATAAGCGTATATACACCCTAAATAAATGGTCATTCGATTACTTTGACAGTACTCGTTTTCCGGTATTATGATGATGTCTTCGCTGGAAGGATGAGGCTGAAACGAAAGAGAATGCGCGACTTGATTCATGCGTTTCATATTTTTTTTTTTTTATACTATATCGTAATTACTCGTGTTCGACCGATATCGATGCGCTTACATAAGGTTCCATTTGTTTCGTTTCCCGGTAAAATGGATCCGCAACCTGCCAGGTCGTCATAATACCCAAATCAATAAACAATAATACACCGACCACCATGAACAATTGATAATCTTTTATCACCTAAACAAAAGACGGATGTCGCAACGGTTAGCAACGGTTATAATGGATGGATAAAAACGATGGTTAGGGAACGATCGACTTACCTTCTTGTTCAATTTAACGTCGGTAAATATCGAGTGTACTCGCCATGTTTTCGAGAACATGGAACCAAAAGCCAATGAGAAACCAGCCATCAATAGCCATGCTCTGGCGGTGCAAATGTAGGGAAATGCCGTTTCACTGGACAGCTGCGAATCTAACCCAAGGAAAATTACACTGCTGTAGGTCAGCATGCATCCGACGATAATGAGGTTGTTTAAATGCGGCGATGACATTTTTATGTATCTGAAACGTCGAAGATGATCGAACGTCGGCCATGAGAAGGGAAATAGAATATCCCGATTTGCACGGGTAAAAAACTTTATCTGGCTTTACACTACGAGCACATTCTTTCTTTTATCCGCACATTTATTAATAATATATTACGTCTCGTTTCGACACGATCCAATTTGTCTCGCGTCGCGTTATATCCGACGAATCGCATCGAGCAAAACGAACCCGCGATGAAATTAACGAGAAAGGAGAAAAAAACGAAAGGATTATCCCTGCGATCTTAATCACCTTTGATTTCTGTATTTGATATTGATGACGAGAAAAATAGCCGCCATGGTGATGCCCACACTGGCCGTGGAAGTGAGCACAGCATAGATCGTAATATTTACGGTCGAATGTTCGATGATGTGAAGAGTTCGATCTTTGGGCGGTGATTTTCCTTTCCAGATTAAAGGCTCGCCCTTGTTCAAATCTAAAATATCTGTCACGCCGTCGTATTCACCGACTTTTACCTCTCTGTTGCCTATAATAGAATAAAGGTAATACACGAATCTCGAAAATTAGATCGATATTTTCGCGTTGTATACTCACCTTGAAACTGTTTCAAAAGAATATACGCTTTCCTTTCATTATCATAGAAACGCACCGGTCCCTAGAAAATTATATCATATAGTGTCGTTCACTTTGATTCACGCATTCTATATTTTTCTTAATTTTTTTCAACATGGTATTATAGTTTTTATATAAGTGTTTTTATATTTTATATATATATATATATAATTTTTACTTTTCAATGATTATTATATACTTCGATATAAAATGGAATTAAAAGATGTTATTTAAATTTTTTTTTTTTTATAATGGATTATTTACTCTTAACATTTAAATATTGCGATAAACGAAAAGGATACATTTATATTGAATAAAGAAAATACTGAATATTGTTTTATTTATAGCAGATATGACGTTTTACATTTAATTATTTTAACATAAATTACACAATTTTGACAATGTCTTGTTTATTATTACTACATAGTACATAGTACCAGTGTTACTAGGATGAATAATATATTTATATATTCTATCTTACAGATTTAAGGTTACAAAGTGTATCTAATATAAATTACAAATAATATAAATATTTACACTTGATGGAATTTATGATAAAATTAAGCTTGAAAATAATATCTAAATAAAATAATAAATTTCAAAAGTATAATGCATAGAACATAAAACTCAATGGTGTAAAACTCTCAACATTATTTATGGAATATAAATATATCCAATAGTGTTAATTGTTAGATTATACAATCTCGTTGAAAAAATTAATTTTCCTTTCACAGAAATACTTACCGTGACACCTTCGAAGCTTGTGTTTCTCAGAGCTTCAAGAAAAAGCTTCTCCCAAAGCTCGTCTCTGTATCTGAAATCTGACATGGTCTGATTGCGACGGTAGTGTGTTATCCTGCTTGCGACGCGTTGTATAGCTAGAGCCACTGCCCATATACCGTCGTACGAATATCCGTGAAATCTCGAATACTCTTTGCCTCGTCTCGAGTCATACTCGACCCGGTATTGTTCGGTCGTCTAAAAAGCGATGAGAAATATATAATGGAGCCGCCTACAGGATAGAAGACACGACCAAATCTCGAACAAGCTATTCTAAGTACTCGTACTCACTATTCCAGCTATAGTCTTCCTCTTCTCCGTTGTGATTGGCAACAAGTCTGTCAATATAGCACCGTGCAATGCCTCCACCAAATCAGCGGAATTGCATTCCTCGTCAGGATGGAGCCACCATTTTTCTGTGTAAGTACCCATTATCACCCATTGATATTTTCTCCCGAACATATCGAATCTAAAAGATGAACGGGAAGATGAACGGAACGAAGATAGAATCCTCTTAGCTCGATATCAAAAGAATAAATATAATTTTTAATTTTCGTGCAAAAGCGTTACTTGTGCGCCTCGCAGAATATCCGCCTGGCCCATGTTTCGTTAAAGTTGCCCAAAATTATTCTAACGTCCTTCTCCTTTAATTTTTCCAGCGCTGTGGTCACCTCGGTGGCGAAGCTTTGCGTCTCTACCACTTCCATGCTATTGCTATCGAGATCGGCGACCAATCGATTATGTGCCTGCACGTGAACGTGATGAATAAAACGCATTATCGATAAGATAAATATACGTAATTCCATGTCGATGCGTTATAGATATTTATTCATTTAAAAATATACACGATATTTTTACATATCGAAGGAAAAAAAAATTGAAAGGAAAAAAGTTATAATTTAAATTATAATTTACAATAGCAACTGTTGAAATAATAAATTTATTAAGAATATAGTTATGGAATAAACGTTAGCAGAAAAATATTAAGAAAAAACTCGTAATATTGACATTTTAAATTAATTAAATTTGTCCTGATCATTTTTATTAGATACATCTTTATAGAAAAATAATGAAACTTTTTCATTTTTTTTTTAAATATAATTTTGAAGAAAATTAACTTATTTAAAACTAAAATGAACATTCTGTGTAATATGAAACGCACATGGTATGCAAAATAATGTATAAAAACGTGTTCAAAGTAATACACGTATTTAGCGAGCAAAATTAATCTCTATTTAAATTCTATTTTCTTTATGTTTATAAAATATGAATATTACATAAACTTTTGCACTTTGCATATGAGGGACTTAGAATGAGATTGGTAGAATGAAATTATTAACTCGTTAAAAAAACCATTTTTTCAATTTTAACATATAAAATACCATGTACAGTGGCGTACTTAGCTGGTAAGTCGGCACTCGGAAAAAAATATAGTTAAATATATTTAACGAGATAAGCCAACCTATACAAACATATCATAATCACACGCATTCTTATATCGTTTGCTCTTTATGATTCTATTTGTAAAAATATATATACAAATACGATAATACAAATGAAAAACATATCCGTACATAGAATTATAAACAGTTTTCAAATTGATATAAAATATCAATTTACGCTGTACGAGATAATATTTTAAAATAAAATAATCTACATTTTTCAAAAAATTGATTAAATTAATTTGATCAAAGATTATTAAAAAAAAACACTTGTATTACATTTTTTTTCTAAATAAATAAACATTTTTCGAAATGAAACGAAAATATATATATATATATTACACGATATAATTCAAAGCGTTGATAGCCGATTCGTGTAACGTGTTTGTGTGTCATTCCATTATATTTCGATAAAATTTCAAATACTCACCAGAGCGTATCGGGGCTCGTTTTGATAAATGGTTCCGACGCGAGTCCAATTGAAGTGCAATAAAAGCGCCACGCGGGGAGCGTTGAACGCGTTCTCAGAAGGCACCACCCTGAAGAAATTTGGGAAGCTATCTTTTGTAAACATCGGGTGTGTGTCCGCGTAGCTAAGCTGCAACAAAGAGCGATTCAATAATCGAGGAAAAAACGAGTCGAGGAAGCGACTTGTGTCTATTTCTTTATACTCTTTGTAATCGTGAGAATAAAAAAAAAAATAATTTCAATGATTTTGGATACTCATGCAAATGTCGCTTAAATTTAATGCAGTTATTAAATCTCTGCAGTTAGGTATGCATTGTAAATTTTTGAGATATATATATATATAGTATTTATATATATATATATATATTCTGTTATGTTCTAAATTTATTTTTAAATAATTTTAAACAAAATTGATCTTCACTTTTTCATTCATATTTTCATCTAAGAAGAGAATTTGATTACATTGAATTGTGCAACTGTTTAATTTTTGTGCGAGATATTTTTTTATGAATATCATTCATAATTTCTAAAGTAGTTTGTATTAACCGAGATAAACGTAACTTCGCATTTTTTCTTAATATCATGCTTGAATGTAACGTATTTCATTCAAAAAAGCAGAAAAAAGAAAAAAAGAAAAAGAAAGGATCGTAACATATTTCATTCGCAAATACGGGTTCACGGATGATAAATAAAAGATATTACTATTTTTGTACATTTCTTTTTTATAATTTTTTTCAGAACGAAGAAAATATGATAACGGAACAAAAACAACTCTTTGCTTCGTTATTCCAAGACGCAAGATAAAAAAAGAATATGGCAACTATTTGTAAAAATATCTTATAAAACTCTTATAAAAAATCTATCAACTATTTGTTAAAAAATCTTATAATCTTATACTAAAATATAAATAATCCAATTCTGATAAATTTATGATTAAAAAAATAATATTATTTATAAATTTCCAAACATTTCCAAATTTAAAATATTTATTATTTAATTTTAATAATAACTTCATTCTATTATTTCTAAAGTTACGCCTAAGGAGATATCTCATAGTTCGCGGGGTTAAGATTTCGAAACGATGTCAAGGACAATCGTGAAACGCGAAACGAATCCGAATCTCCCCTCGAACGGAGATTCGAGATCCTCTTTTTCTTTCCCGCAATATTTGCCGCCCCGTTATTATATTTCACAACTCACCTGCGTGAGACGCCAATGCTTGGACGCTTTGGCGATGGGATCGGTGACGTGCGTGCAAGCTGCGCCGAATAGCATCACTTTGTGCGGCCCGCTGTGCATCATATCGAAGAATGCCTTCACGCCAACGGCGGCGTTGCACTGGAACAAAATCGAATAGTGGAGTAAACGAATAAAAATCGGGTAAAAACACGGCTTTGATCGCACGAATCAAGTCGAGTTACGCCTCGCGGAACAAAAGGACCGTCCCTACGTCCACTTTTATTTATTTATTATTTTTCTTCTTTTTTTTTCGATCGGTCAACACAGTGCAGTGCATCTATAGCGCACCACACAGAGGCGGCGCTCACCTTCTTCGGCCCTATTCCCTCCCCGTGTCCCTCCTCCTCTCTATTTTTATTTTCGCGGTAGGCGGATAGCAACCGCATTTGCATAGTGTGAACGTGCCCGCGTATATTTTTACGACGCTGCCCGAGAAACGTCAGGAGCAGCCTTCCCTCCTCCCCCCTCCGCAGGTAACAAATGTGTCAAAGTGAAGTTTCCTTCGTTCGTTCCTCCATCGAGGATGCTCGAAGACAAGCTACTTACGCGGAAGGGGTGTGAGGAGAAGGGAGGGGAGCGGAGGTTCGAGGCCGAGATACGGAGAGGGAATAGGAACAAACGTGGTATCCGGTTGTTGGTTGAAAAAGGAGAGGATGTTAGATGGAATGGAAAAAATAAAAATTGTGACGTATGATTATTTTCTGAATAACGAGGGAAGATTGATTTCAGATTTAAGAAATTTATTATATACGAAATAATAAGGTTTTGTTTATTTTTACAAATGAATTTTATTCTACGTTTTCACTTTTTATCGGTAATTAATAATGAAGAGAAATGACTTGTACGTAAGAATCGTTTCAGGAATGATTTTAGTGCACAGTAAAACAGTAGAAGAATTCACATATAAGGATATGTATTTGGCTTTATTTTTGAGCCTTAAGTTAAATTAAGCAGATAGAATTTTAATCAAGCGGCTATACGTTGACCGTGATACGTGTCTCATTATGCGAGTTGCGGGATATCGATTTCAGATGCTGTGCATCGATATGAGAATACGTATATCTGTTCGTAGTGGGTAATGCCCGATGCTAATAGTTCAGAGTGTATAGACCACTTTATAGCGATTTTGATGTTGCAATAATTCTTTCGATAAAGGGAAGTAGTTGAACTATGCAATTCCATCCAATTATTCGGTCACGAATAGAATCTTGTGATTAAATTCCTGTGATAACTTCCTCTTTTAATGTTCCATGTACGAGTATTATCGAAACACTAGATATATACGTATATTATTTCAATATGTCGTTTATATCAAAAATTGGAAAATTATATTAATGAAAAATGTATACTTAATGACATTACAGTGAATTTCTTTTGGAAAATTTCTTTTATCTTTCTATATTTTATTTTAATACTTTTGATAAATTTTTATGTTCTTGACAAAATATCGTAAAATCTTTTTTTTAGGGGAGGCAATTTTACTTCATGTTCTACCATTTTGAAATATTTATATATAGGCATAATTTCTTTATTAAAGAAAATATGAGATATCCTTAAGGATTTGTTATTAATCATTAACTAGACGAGTTAGAAACAAATTTTCTAATAATATAATAAATTCTCGTAATATAGAAAAAGTAGATAAGCGCACACGTTGCCATGGATACATATATATATAGATAAGGTTAAATATATAGTAGCGAAAAATTTTGATTAATACGTGGGAAACTAGTAGCTAAAATTTTATATTTGAAGTCCTTTTCACCTCTTCCTCTCTCTCTCTCTCAAAATTTTCAGTACAATGATTCACTATGATAGTTGAATTATACCGTACATATTTTATCTCAGAGTATTGTTAACGTGTGGAATGGAACAAAGACTCCCTGTATTATGGGATAAAAAATAAAATTCAAAAGAACTTTAAAAGAACTTGTATGGAGGTATATACATATATATATACGGTACGATATTCTCGAAAAAGTGGAAGTATCGTGTTTTACCTTTGCAAAAACTTTCGAGTTTTGTGTAACGATTCATTAACGAAAAATTCGCCAATTACAGACTTGTCGAGATAACAATGTTGAATAGCTCGAATAAATAAATCTATGTGAATCGAGAAAAGTAAAATATTCGATAACGTACTTTTTATCGAAAAGAAATTATATCGAATTATTCAATAATGAAATAAATAAATTCTTATTTGTGCGGGGCATATAAATCGAATTTGTTCACTCGAAATGAACACTGCGAGATATGAATGAGAATCGAGTTCAGTCAGAGAAGATATGAACACTGTTATTACCGAATCGGTGATTATTGACTCGATCGATCACGAAAAACGATCGCCTGATGTGTGTTGACGCTTTTGGATGTCGCGTTCTGTTGGAATAAAAGTTTTACAAGCATTATATCCAGATCGAAAGATATACTAACTTTTCGATCCATGCATCTTATTCATATCGTAAAAAGAACGTTTTATTCTCTATAAAAATTAATTTTATTAAAAAAGTTTCGTAAAAGTTGTTATTACTTGACAATGTGTAAATATATTTTAAATTAATTTTTCAACGTATATTATATTTAAAGACTTTCGTATTTTGCGGAAGACTTTCAACGTTTTCCTTCTTGGAGTTTCGTGGTAACTTCATAAGTTACAAGGGAAAGGGTACTTTAATACTGAAAGCTCTTGTTTGACGTATATGGAAAATACGCTTTTTTTAAATATAACTTTGGTGGTAATGATACATAAAGAAGAATTTTAAATTATAAAATCGCTTTCAAGTTTTAATATTCTATTAATCTGTTGTAAGAAATATTTTTAAGAAAAATTTGTGGATCTTTCATCGAGGAATAAATTATGCATAACATAACATTATTACATACACAAACTTTCATTAAAATCAAAATTTTTCGAGTCAGATCCTCGTAATATCGTGAAGACTTTTAAAGATGATTCCTATATATTTACCATTTATTGTTAGAATTATTTTTTGGGACACCCATACTTTTTTTATCAATTTTATTCTAATCTCTCTTTTTTTTTTATCCTAGAAAGAATTTCTAAAAGAAATTCAAGAATCTATTTTATCACTTAGAATATCTTGTGCATTTTTCTAAAATATTAAAAAATATGTTTCGAATAAAAAATTGAACGGCGTAAAAGGAGATATGACTTAATATTACTGCCATGTATATATATATATATATATATATNTACTATGTAAATACTTGTATATACGTAAAAATTGAAGATAAAAATCAAACAATGACAGACTCGAGTTCCTCGTAATTACGTTTCAAATGACGATAGTTTCCGATCTCTTCCAACCGCATTTACGCAAGCTAGCCAATAGATACACGAAAGCGAGAGATACGACACGTGCACGCGACAGATGCTCTCTAGTATATTGCATTTGGATACCGCAAATGGCATACCGGAGCCATGGGTCGATATTACCGATTCCTTGTGGATCGACATATATTAACGGTTGGCCCAGTGAACTTGTTTCAAGATGTCTTAGCTTTCGTTTGTCGGGATTAATTGAACGTGTATGTATACGTCCGTGCGTCGAACATCTTTTTCTAAGTTATAAGTTATAAGTTAAATCAATTAACAAAATTAGGATTTGAAATTGTAATTGTTTTGATTAAAAAGAAAATTTTAATTTTATTAGTTAGCTTTATTAGTTGGTTTTATTTCTTATTAGTTTAGTCTATTTCTATATGTATATATATATATTTGCAATTCTCGTTACTGTGATTAAAACTTGTATTTAGTTAATGATATTCGATTTGATATTCGTCATTAATTCCAAATTATATGTTAAAATATGTATTTGATTAATAGTTTGATACATCATTGATCTAAAATTTTGTTATTATGTTAAAATATAGTGACGACTCGTGGATTTTACAACTAATATACTCCATATTGCGTATATGTTACAAACAATCTTGAATTATTATAATAAATCGGCTTGACAATTTTTTTTGACTGGAAAGTGTCAATGATTCTGGTATTAAGTTGAAATTAAGTCGTTTTGACATAAATCATAGAAATAAAAATAAACCAATAGAAAATAAAAATTATATTAGCAATTTATACATGTTTTATTTTGATTAGATGATAACGTTCTAAGTTTAATAAAATTTAAATTATAAATTTAATTAAATTTTGCTTATTCTATTCATTTTTTTATTTATATATATATATTATAAATAAGTTAATATATACAATGTTTCTGAAATCATACAAAAATAAATTAAAAGAAAGAATAACATTTTTTCATTAAAGACTTCGTTTTCAAGAAAATCCAGTTTGAAAATTTTTCAAATGTGAAATTAACTATTTTCCGATTGAATATGAATGAGCTCGGAATAGGAAGCAAAATATGTGAAAATGAGTAAAAAATATAGAATTTAAAATATAGAAATTTTACTTTCTTTTCTTTTTGAGAAATTAAATATTTATCAAAATTATTGTCAATCAAAAATTGACAATTGTCGAATTTTCAAATTCAATTATCTTGAAATTCTCGAAAACGAATTTTTAAGTAAAAAAACTTTATTCTATATTTTTTATATATTTCCACAATTACTTTCAATAATTTATTCCTACCTAATTTGAAGTTAGCCAACTGTACTCGAATATTTTCTTTTTAAATTTAATTTATTTGAAATTAAACAAAAAACAAAATTATTCTTTTTTTTTGCATGTAATATCATCATCAATATATATATATACTTATATATTTCAATCATATCCGTCCACAATTCACGCATCAAAGAAAATGGTATTCGAATTTTGAATTCGGGATTGGGATCAACGATTTGGGATCGAAGTTTCATCGTTGGATAGATCGGAACGGTGGATCGATCCTGTGGAACAGCACAAAACGCAATGCCTCGTCTGTTTACGCGTTGGCTTCGGGCCATGCCGACTGCGTCGCAAAACCAGCATTACCGAAAAACGGGATCACCGGAGAACGGCAACGAACAATGGAGGCCCGATTTCTCGTGGTCGAGGAAACAAAAAAAAAAAAAAAA